CATCTTGGGTGCAAGTTCATCAATGTTTGGGGTCAGGCTCTGAGCTGAGGAAACCCTCAGGATTGAGTGAAGGTGTGGGTGCAATATACCGGCGGGCCAGATCTAATAGTAATTAAAAATTATCCTGCAGGCCGAAATTAAATCCACCAAGGGCCTGATTTGGCCCCCGGGCCTTGAGTTTGACACATGTGAGTTAAAGTCTAGTGTCCTCAATCAATAAAAACTAGTGTCGTCACTCAACAACAACACTGACAATTTCATGTCTTTCACGTTTGTTTCTCCTGTCTTAGTTTAACTTGTTGCTTTTAATTGCAAGTCACCAGAGATGTAGTCTGAGAATTCAACTAATAATAATAAATACAAAATTAAATCAACACTAGATTTGTTTCTCGTTTGTTCCTCCTGTTTTTGTTTAGATGCCTTCGTATTGAGTGACTCTAGCTCACCTGGCTCCGTACCAATACACTGACCTAAAGCTACTTCAGTACTTACTTTATTACCTGCTTTCAAAGTTTGACTTCAACAGTTATCATAATAAATACAAAACAAATACAAAAACAACACTATTTATTTGATTTATTTCAGCTAAATCTTGAATAAATCATATTTTCTCTTTTCCAGATAAATGTAATGCATGGTAACGAATATATACTAGAATACAATTAAAAGACAGCTAAACTGCAGTTCTGCATTGTAGTTTTTTGGGCAGTGCAGCTTTTAGCAAACGTTAATGAAATAGGGATACATAGTGTATTTGTTGGGGACTATTTTCAGCTGTGGATTAATACACACTTGGAGCTCTAGTGAGGATTTTGTTGGCAGATTTTGTGCAGTCTCAAAATAAACCAATATTCATGGGGATGAAGGAACATATCACCAGGGAAACTGTGTCCTTGATTCAGAGTTATTCAGAAACTAACTTTTAGGTCACTTCTAATTTGTATCTTACTCTAACCTTGGTAACCACTCTGTTTTCAGTGTTTTATTTATAACTAGTTAGACAGAAAACAAGACAAAATAACATGAAGGTTTTCAACTTTTTTACTGCAGTGTTGAAACAAGCTGAGCATTTGTTAACATAGAAACAATCAAGTAATTCAATAACATTCAGCTCCTTACATTTTCTAATTTGGAAAGTCTTAAGTGTGCAGCGTTCATGGAAAGGAGATACAATCAAGCCTTTACCCAAGTCCACGTTTTGTCATCTTTTTGAAAGAGAAATCTGCTCTCTCCTGACATTTCAGTGTGTTGGATGGTGTGTGTGTTTGGAGCATTTGGTTTGGCATTTCTGAGCGCTGGAACCTTTAATAGCAGATGTCTGTGTGTCCATGCATACATCTCATATGTTAATCAGTGAGCTGCATGAGTACAGAGGATCCTGGCATGAACGTGGTAGAACTGGCAAAGTGTTAAAAATGCATGTTCGACCTTTGTTTTATATATTTATTTTCTAAAGACAAGTACAGAGAAACATTGACAGTCATGGGAGCTATGTGTGATGGACTGATAATGTTCATACAGTTAAAACTCATTTCCAACACAAGTCCCTCTATGGGAATCATCAAAATGACATGTAATAGTTTGAAATCAGTGCAGAAAAAAAATCAGGAAACAAGAAAATGTCATCTATCGCAATACAGTAAACACTCATGGGAAAAAGGTGAAAGTGAAGTCTAGTTGTTAACCTGTTAAGCCCGGGAGCCCCCGCAACATCTTGCAAGTAACAGCGTCTGAGGGCTTCATAACATTTAACAAACTATGAATGTGTCATACCCACTTAACAGGAAGAAACTCAGCTACCTGACGATATGAACAATTTTTACCGAAATAAAACACAAGTCTAACCTCTGAATTAGCACTAAGTGAAAGAGTGCTAACGCACTTAGCACATAACTCACGGTAGAAATATTGTATACTTCATCAGATCTGCGATCTGAGATTCCACAGATTCCAATGATATAAGTATCATCACTGTGCGACCAAAACTCGCGGCAGCGAAAGCAAGCAAAGACAACACACAACTTCACTTTACGGGGCCAAAACGGCAAATTTCTTAACTTTCCTGTTTCTGATCAAAAGTTCAGAAGCAGATGATTTCTTCCAGTCCACTCCACCAAATCCTACTTTTACGCAAGGCAAGTTTATTTATATAGCACCTTTCAACACAAGGCAATTCAAAGTACTTTACAAAAATGAAAGACCATCAGAAAATGGCAATTAAAAACAGTCATTAAAAAGCAAAGATAATAAAATAAACATAAAGTCGATACACACTATAGACAGTAGTTCAGTAAAGTCATCAAAAAAGCTTACACAGTATTTGGGTGGTCTATACAGATATTTAGGAACAGAGCTCGAGAGGAGCATTTCAGCTGAAGAGCCACATATTCAAAAGAAGCAAAGTTCCCATAGATGTCTTCCTGCATTGAATGGAATCATTGAACAAAATAGCAACTCCACCTCCTTTCTTATGCATTCTTTCCTGACTCATAAAACTAAAGTTGGGAGGGGTTGATTCGATAAGAACAGCTGCACTGTTATTTTGTTAAATCCAAGTTTCCGTTAAAAACATAACATCGAGATTGTGCTCAGTGATAAAATCATTGATTAAAAATGTTTTTCCTGCCAAAGACCTGACATTTAATAAAGCTAGTTTAAGTTTGTTGAATACACTATCAGTCAGTTTCTTTGTGACAAGCTGTGGCTGACATGGAATCACTGCTAAATGTGATAAACTCACACAAACGTTTGAGCGCTTCCTGTTTCTAAGCTGATTCACCGCTCTCAATCTATTACCTATCAACACAGATATCGCAGAGCTACTTGCAGGTAGGGCCCCGGCTTGTCCTGGAAAGAGTTGAGAGTGCCCTTGCGCCCGGACCCAGCACATATCAGTTAGAGTTTGCTGCGTTTTGTACACACACATCCTTATCAGGCTTCGGAGACCGCAGATGCTGTCTTGAAGGGGGGGAGGATGTTTTGGTCCGGATGATTGTGGTAGGCATGGTGATGAAGACGGGGGAGATGGTGCGCGTCTCTGCTTCGGTGATTCTGGTGGGCGTCGTTGAGGGACGGGGGTCAAAGACATGCTGCTAACCCTGTGTATCTCCTTCATGTGTTCATCAAACTCCAGGAGGGGGGGGGTGAGTGTGAAAGGGTGAGCGGAGAGAAGAGAGCGCTGGGGGATGAAGGAAGAGTATCCTCAAAGGTCTTGGTAGGGGGGTTGAAGGGCGGTTGAGACTCCTCCATTTGTCTCATAGGTCTCCCATAATGAATAAAGACATTCCTCAGGCAGGTGCAGTGATACTTCTTCAAGGTTTTCTGCGCGATGTGTTGTGTCTTTCTCCTGTTTTGATTCCTCTTGTTGCTTGTCCTTGGCAGAGGGAACAGATTGATGACGCAGGCTGTTGAATATGTTAGAGATAAACAATTTAACTCCTGACTTGTTCAGGCAAACTCCATCTGCCTTAAAAAGATGTCTGCGGTCCAAGAAAAAGTAAAAATTGTCAATAAAATGGACAGAATGGTCAGTACAGGCAGTTGACAGCCAGGTGTTCAGTGCAAACAATCTGCTGAATCTCTCCACTCCTCTTCTGACTGGCGGTAGAGGGCCACTGATGAACACCTCCGCATTTAGAGAGCTGACAGTTTCCAACAAACATTTAAAGTCTTCTTTCAGCACTTCTGACTGTTGTTCACAACATCATTTGTTCCAATAGGCAGTACCACATTTTTCACAGTCGGATGTTCAGTCCCAATATGCAGGATATTCTCAGCCAAGACAGAGACCATATCCTTGGCAAAACAGAGTACTTTGGTGTTGTTCTTACTACACAGACTTTTTACATCTCTTACAGCAGAGTCACCCACAATCAGAGTTTCAGGCCCAGTTGTTAGCTTTCCCTCTAGCCTTTTACTTTTGGAGTAGCTATTGGTCCTTACCCTGCTGTTTGAAGAGGACAGGTTATCCAGGTAATCAGAAAGAGATCTCCGGTTCTGTGTCAGTGGAGCGTATCTGTTCTGGATTGGCACACTCAGTGGTTTAGGAGGATTGTTTGTAGTCGGCAACTAGCAAAGCTGGACATTAACTCAGACAGCTTAAATGGGATTTGTGGTGTCAATGAGACAGATGTGATCTTTGCAGTGTTGAAAATGGGTGGAACTTGATGGTCAGACATGTATTTAATTAAATTGTCTAAACGTAGGTAGATGCGTTTAATGGGAGAGTGTACAGCTGAAGGAAAGTTCACCTATACATGTTAAGCTTCTTGTGAAACCAATCCCTTCATTTCCAGGTTTAACTGATGACCTTTGGCCAACATAAAACTTGACCACACTCAAAGATCGCTGAGATCTTAAAATGTGTTGATGTTGCTAAAAGTGTTGCAAACATTCATCACTGTTTGCTGATCTGTCACCATTGACCTTCAGTTATTGGTGGGTATGTTGTTTTGACCTTAAACTACGTACAGTCTTATAATCATCTAGCTTGTTTGCAATTCATCAGATTTGTTGACAGCCCTTTCTAGTCCCAATCACCTTTGTTGTAGCACTGATGCTATAGTCCAGCATCTCACTCTGTAGGAACAATGACTGAATGAATAAAAACCCAAATTGTAATAAATCATAAATATCTTTCAATCCCTGTGTTGCTTGTAGTTTTTTTTTGTACTGCACTTTTAAAATGCACATCATGGCAACAAATATAACAGATAAAACCGATTAAATTGTGCAAGAGAATGTTTTGAGATATGCAAGTAAATATGAATAGGGCAAGAAGAGTCTATATACAAGTAAATGGAATATGATATATAGATAAATCATTCTGTAACTGTTCCTGTAACTAGTTTTTCTTCTGTAACAGTTTGCAGTTTACACTTTTAAGATGCACTTTATTGCAAAAAAAGTCTCAATATCTCCATACCATCTTCCAAATAGCAGTAAAGTGCGACATTTCTGTGTGAATCCACATTTAATGGACTCTCTCTCTGTTCCTGTAGGTGTGGCAGTGTGGAGGCAGTATGGAGGTCCTTCCCTGCGCCAGAGTGGCTCACATCGAGCGAACCAAGAAGCCCTACAACAACGACATAGATTACTACGCCAAGCGCAACGCACTGCGGGCCGCCGAGGTGTGGATGGATGAATACAAATCGCACGTCTACATGGCCTGGAACATCCCCATGAACGTAAGTTATTTGCAGAGAAGGCAAAAGTATACACATCCTTTACTCAAGTAGAAGTACAGATACTCGTGTTTAAAAATACTCTGGTAAAAGTAGAAGTACTGACTAAACTTCTTTACTCAAGTAAAAGTAAAGAAGTATGGGCTTCGAAATGTACTTCAGTAAAAAGTACCCATAGCTAGCAGCTGTTTTAAAGAGTACCTGACCTCCCTTTATATTAATAGAACAATAATGTCATTGTTAGCTAATGAATGTTTCCATGCTGAACAACGGCAACATGACAAGGTTTTCATTGGTCCCTCTTCTTTAGAGAAGACCAGGAAATGATGGATACACGGATCGTGTTCAAATCAATAGGCACGCAATGACTCTAAATAATAATGATCACGCCACCAAACACACATTCAAACTAAAGGAACAAACCTGTTTGGGAAATGTAAGAAGTAGAAAGTTCAGGTATTTGTGTTAACAATGTAAGAAGTAAAAAGTCGTCAGAAAAATAAGTAGGGAAGTAAAGTACTGATACCAGAAACATTTACTTGAGTACAGTAACGAAGTATTTGTACTCCACTACTTCCCCCCTCTGGTTATTTGAGACCCTTCCCTCCTTCATTGCTCATTCAGACACGCAGCCGGGGTCTCCGGAGACACGAGCCGAGAGAAATTCAAAATTCACATTTCATCCCATTTGACCTTCACACTGGCAGCCGAGCAGAGGAGTCGCTCTCCAAACCAAGTGAATGAGATGAGCCTCATGTCTAATCAATCTATTTTCATACACATTACTTTGGTTTAATTGCTTTCAAGCGTCTTTGAGACATAATAAACAGCTACTTTTACAAATAAAGAGTTTAATTTTGAATCCTAATTGCCTCCTCAGCCATGCAGAATGAGATGATTGTCAGTGAAGGCCTCTGAATACTGCCCAAACAACACTTGATATGAAACTGTATGAGTAGTGCAGGATTGAGTCCTCAAACCAGGAGATGAGTAATTTTTCCACTTCCATTTTGACAATCTTTATATGTTTGATCTCTCTTGATTTACATTCAGAAAACCTGAACATGTGTGGAAACAGGTACACGTATCAATGGCTTTGGGGTACAGGTTTAAAAGTGGTGCAGGGAATGAGTCGTATCATTTGGAATTGAGCATTTTAACACTTTGGGTCCCTTGTTCTCGAAGTAAGCAGTGGTTAAAATGTGTTTTGGTTAGATACCTAAAATAAGGTCAAGCCCACTCGTTAGTTTCCTGTTCCCTCCTCTTGAAGTCAATAGGCATTTTTATGTGTTTGGTTAAGAGCCTGAAATAAGGTCTGCTTACAAAACATGTCTGTGACCTAAAGTACATCAGGAAATACCCCAAAACTGTCTAAATGAGACGACTAAACGTCATCACGCCCAACCTTAGCCACCTTTAGCTTAGCGGTGGTGATGTGAAGTCATGTGACCGTGCTGTAGTTCCTTTATAGCCTAACGTTAGCTTTTTACTTCTAACAATTGCATTTAGACTTCAATAATCAACAAGTCATTTTAATAAGCGGAGATTATCCGGCTGAGAAAAAACATGTAGGCTACGTATTATTGAGCCGTTTGCCACATACCTTATTTGTTGAAAGAAATTCCCAGTTTGCGATCAATAAAGTATATCTTATCTTATCTTATATTTGGAAGTCCAATGGATAAAACCCATTAGCTTTTTGTCGGGGGAGCGATTGCGATGGTAACTTCAGGGTCGGCCTACAGAATATGTGATCACTGCTTCTTTCTTTAAGAGGCTAAGCACACGTCTGATGCCTGCATGTCGTCTAGATAGAAAAATGGCGTAAACATCACTACATAAGTACTCACAAAGTTCAGGTAGGAAGCACCAGCAGCAGAAGTGTTGAAGCTGATGTGTGAGTGAAGAATGGAGGATATGTTGAGGAGTGGGTGTAAGGAAAGGAGGAGGGGGAACTTTGACAAACTAGTCAATCAGACTGCTGCCTTTCTCCAGTGTAATTACAAACACAGTGGCATGGCACGTTATTACCCCAGCTGTCCTGTGGCGCAGAGTTATTTTGTGTACAGTACAAAGACCTAACGTTACGATTATTCCATCTACCCCCCTCCATCTCTGCTTCCCCCCCACACGCCCATACACACAATCACAGATTCTTGTTATTGTCTAAGGTTCCCGCTGAGAGCACAATTACTTCAGTGGGGGAAGGCTTTATGATTCACCACAGTGGGCAGCCCCATTTCCAAATACAAAACAACATCTCAGTGAGATTGAATGCATTTGTTAGTGTCACTTTATGGTGCGAGAAAAATAAAATAAATTAGACATTTACAACCCATTATTAACAGATGTTGAAAGCAAGTTCAGCAGCTGGTTGTATAGACTCCTGCAGAGAGGGGAGACTGATGAGTGAGTGTATGTATGTATGTGTGTGTGTGTGTGTGTGTGTGTGTGTGTGTGTGTGTGTGTGTGTGTGTGTGTGTGTGTGTGTGTGTGTGTATGTGTATGTGTATGTGTGTGTGTGTGTGTGTGTGTGTGTGTGTGTGTGTGTGTGTGTGTGTGTTGTGTGTGTGATTGTATATGTTGTGCACCAATTTCTATGTGAAGTCTTTTGTCATATTCAATTCAGTTTATTCACAAAAGGTTAAGAATACAAGACATAATGGAGATATGTGAAATGGGACCCGAACACTACAATGAAAGTATTAAAATATAAATTACAAACACATCTATAATTGGAGAGAGTTCATGTATTACAAAGAAACATTTACAAGCTAAAAATCTAATTTGCTCACCAAATAGCCTACAACTAATCTCACCCAAATGGTCCCAAAACATTTATACATCAGTCTAAGAAGTATATTGGATTTAAGATATATGACAAAGTACAATGTAATGATGAAAATTAGATGCATTTCATAGTAGAGTTTCAGCTTGTTTTTAGTTCCCCGACATTTAGTTTAGTCAAGTGTGACATATTTTATAAAAATTGCTGCTTTAAGATCCTTTTAAAACAGACACAGATGAAGATTAAAATGTTTTGAATCTCTTTTTATACCTGTTGACCTCTGCAAACCACACTAAAGCTCTTTCAGTTACATATTTACTCTTTATAAGATGCTTTTTGTGTGTGTGTGTGTGTGTGTGTGTGTGTGTGTGTGTGTGTGTGTGTGTGCATCAGGATCATGCCTCTGCAGCTATTAGGCCTTCCCCTAATCAATCTGGAAGCCACCTCCATGCGTCAGCAGGGCCGTGAGGGCTCATAATTAAGCAGCTGATTAGAATTTGCTCAGCGCAGATCACGTCTAATGAAAGAACAATAAAGGTCCCACATGACAGGCGCATCTATCCGTCTCTCGCTAACTGATGCTGCGTCCTCTCAGCACCTCCTCACTGCTGCACCTCCCTGTTCTCCAGGAGCATGTACTTGTACTCTCTCTTAAAGGTCCCCTATTATACTGTTTTTCATCAATATATTATAGTTCTCAGATATATACAAAACATGTCTCTGAAGTGTTTGGCTATACAGAGCCTGTCTCTGATTGGCTGAAACACCAAACAGATCATTGCAGCATCCCATAATCCCCTCTGTTCCAGCCCTGTTTCAAAAGTGCTGATTCTCTGTCTGTTACTTTAGATGAAAATAAGGAGCCCCTCCCCACGCCCCTCTGAGAGATATTTGGTTAAAAAGAACACAATGGTGCTCTAGGAGGACATTCAGGTGATAAGGTGGGGGGGGGGGGGGGGGTTACCTTGGTTCAGTGGCGGCTGGTGGAAAATATTTTAGGTGGGGCTGTGGAAATGGTGATCAAACAATACTAGGGGGCATTTTTTTGAGAAAAGACCCCCTAAATTATGACTTCTGGTGATGTTAGAGGGGGGGGGGGAGGACAATTTGAGGCTTAAAAATATGAGAAGACTGATCAATACCTCCATAACTTCAGTGTGGTTAGCTATGAATCTTCCAAAACTTCCAAACACCTTGTCCTGGACATAGTTTCTACAGCATAAACTGTGCTAACAAGCTGAGATTCCAGATTCTAGAAATATAAGTATCATCACTGAGCGATCAGAACTCGCGACAGGGGAAGCAAATACAGACATCACACGACGTAGCTTTAGGTAGCAATTTTTTTTTTTTTGTTTAATGTGGGAAGAGGTGGCTAATGGTTACACAAGCCAAAACATCGTTATGACATCATCAAGTGGCCAAAATCTGATCAGCTCATTTTCAGACAGGTTTTTATATAAATGGATCAGGACAAAAAGAGAGAGAATCTTTGTTCCTGAAACGTTCAGAGTCTCTTTCCACAGAGGGGACACATGTTGATGTAGAAGAGACATGAATAAGTGGATTTTGCATAATAGGTGAACTTTAAGTGAAGTGCCCGCCGGCTGTGAGAGCTTTGTTTCCGCCTCTGTGTTGTTGACAGAACCCCGGGGTGGATTTCGGAGATGTCTCAGAGCGCGTGGCCCTGAGGAAGAGGCTCCAGTGTCGGAGTTTCCGCTGGTACCTCGAACACGTCTACCCCGAGATGCGGATCTACAACAACACCATCACATACGGAGAGGTGAGACGCTTATTGGAAATATTCTGTATGTTAGTTTGGCTTCATCATCATCATGTGTTGTTTATTTCTACTCTTTTAATTTCTACTTATGTGCAATGCCTTGTTTTGTATGCTGCTGCAACGCCAACATTTCCCAAATTGGGATCAATAAAGTACATCTTATGTTATCTTAAATCTATCACAGAGCTGGGGTTTACAGAGGATGTGGTTTAAAGAGGAGTATCAGTGAATCTTGATGAATTCTTCAGCGTTGCAGTGCCAGGATTTCTTGTGTCTTTCCGAGAGAAAATGCCCTGAAACACGAATGTTGGCACCTAGTTGATATCTGTTGTAGTTTGCATTGTTGGAACGTAACTATATCTACTCAAGTATTGTACTTATGTACTTGTACTTCCACTCATTTTGGAGGCAAATCTTTTTTTACTACTCTACACTACCTTTATTTGACAATATTCAGCAACATAAGGTACTAGTTCCTTTGCAGGTTGATATCATTAATACAAAATATGAATCAACTATTCAATTATGATGTTCTGTTATGAATTAACGAAGTGTACATGGCTGTATGGAAAGGTCATTGTAGATTAGCTACGTGAGCTTGCTAGTTTACAGCAGATCTGCAATAGTAATGGAAGGCATCATGTGATCGCATTGTTAAAATAAGCCGATAAAACTTACATTTTAGGCAAGTTTCCAGCGACAAATCCCCCCAACATCAATAAGAGTTCATGTCCCAGATGTGTGCGTCGCTTTTTAGTGTCCCCTGGTTTCCGTTGTGTTTTGAGCAATCTTGCAGCGTTTAGTTTGAAGCTTTTAGTAAAGGCTGTGCATGTGTTGTCAAGTTATTTCTTAATTTGAATGTGTTTTGGCTAATTTGTGTTTCTGTATTTGCATCGTTTTTGAAACTGCAGTGCTTTTCTCCTAATGGAAATGTTCTGCGCAGATATAGCTTGTTTGCATGGCTCAGCTTCCATAGCTATTACTACTTTTACACAGGTGAAAGGTCTGAGTACTTCTTCCACCTCTGGTTTGAACTAAACTGTGGTCAAACACAAACTGAGATGTGCAGATAAACTGATGAGAGCTCATAATATGACTCACTGTTTCCACTCTGAGGTGAAGGTGTCTCCTTGCTGGAGCGATGCAGCATCACGACTCAGGATTACATGCAATTTCCTCAGAATGAGTTTTAATTAAACACTTATTAGTTTTCCATTCCAACCTGATTGTTAGGGGCTCGGCGGCGCACTCAGCACAGATGGGGGGGAAACAGGATTATGACAGGTGGAAGAATTGATCACACTCCAGAGTGTTTGCTGAAATTCACAGTTTTTCGTCAATTTTAAAAATGGAAAACAGAAGCAAATCAATACGCTCTGCAACTGCAATGTCAGAATCCATCAAATTAACCTCTAGATTCATCAGTGTGAATGTTCAACCCCCCTCTCTTTGTTTCCCCTGCTGCCAGTTTTGGCTCTGGCACCCAGGAAATGAATTTCTCAGAGTGGCAGCTACTTAAGTGGCACTATTTCAAATCTGTCGACGAGCCTCGTGTTTCGCCACATGGCCGCCACAGCAGCAGAAGTGAGTCCCATCTGTCTCCGAGCTTCAGCAAAAGTCGGCCATGCTGACCGGAGCGGCCGAGTGGAAACCTCCCGACATCAGCACATGATAGATATGTCACACCCTGGAAATGAAGATGTACGGAGCTCATGAGAGCAGTCCTCCGTCTGCAGACCTGGAGGGAGAGGAGTGGGATTTGGTCACTGCATGATAATAATAATGATACATGACACTTATATAGCGCTTATCTAAAAACTCAAAGACGCTTGTCATGGCCAGGTCATCACTTATAGACAATATAAGACTGTGAACAAGACGGGAGGCTGTGTTACATGAACAGTGGAAAAAGTTGTAATTAACCACGGCTCGGCACTCTACTAGACTCAATGAGTAAGAATCTTTTCCAATCACATGCACACACTGAAGTTTCACTAACACTACGTTAATATGTTGACTATAAGTTTTGCAAAATAGGGAAAAAGGGCAACATGGATATCCTATTATTAGCGTAAAAACAACCCCTTGCATTTTACTCACAGCACAGCAACACCTAAATGCACAAGAGACATTTTGCTGAACGTATTTAACGAGCCGATGGGAGAGCGGTTTGAATCTTTATCTAATGTTTGCCAGAACAACTGACCATATTCCCCCAAAATATCCAACTTGACAAATCAACCCTTAATCATGATACCAATGCACCTGCACTCTTTTTTGGACGCACACTCAATCATATTTCCATCCATGTTTTTAAAATACGTTCATATTATTATTTTTGTCATTTAAAATGTCTATGTTATAATTTGATTATCTTTTCAATCTGCACACATGACTTCTACTGCATGTCTGTCCATCCTGGGAGAGGGATCCTTCTCTGATGCTCTCAACAAAGTTCAAAATGTTTCTCCCAATGAATCGTGTGCTTCGAAGATCTAAGGACAGAGGGTGTTTCTCAATCGAGAGTACGCTTGCTTGGTAGCACATGTCTGCCGAGCATCTTGCTTCAGAAGCGAGTCAAGAATACTTCCTGGCATTCGGAAAATGAAGTGTGGAACACGCTAGCAAGTGTGCAGGTGTGCGTCATATGAGAGGCCCCGCCTTACATCTTCCGCCACAGATTTGGGGAAATTGGTCCGTGCGCAAAGCATTGTGGGTATTTTAAGACCGCGGAGTCTACTCATGTGCAGCCTCGATATTTCTCCAAACGGAGTACGCCGGGCTTGGTAGATTTCCAAGTATGCTGGAGATTGGAACAGTACTTCGGCGGCACTCGATGACGTAGTATGCTTGAAATAGTGGCTCTGGAGCAGCTTTACTCGAGATTGAGAAACACTCAGAGAGTGGTGTATGCTTGTCAAAACAACTCATCATATTCCCCCAACATATCAAACTTTAGAAGTCAACCCTTAATTATTATACCAATGGTCACACATGAAAGATTTTTTCCATCATCATTCCACCCATGTTTTTAGAACGCGTTCATATTATTATTTTTGTCGTTTAAAATGTCTATGTTATAATTGGATATTGCACGTCTGTCCGTCCTTGGAGAGGGATCCTTCTCTGATTCTCTCAAGAAAGTTAAAAAGGTTTTCCTGATTAATCGAGGAGTTTCTTTGTGAGTTTTTCCGCGTGTGGTTCGAAGGTCTAAGGACAGAGTGTGTTGTATTCTGTTCACACTGTGGAGTCCCCTGAGACTGCCTTCTCCTTTAATTATTCACTCATGAATCCCTGTTGTGTCTCAGGTGAGGAACAGCAAAGCGAGCGGCTACTGTCTGGATCAGGGATCTGAGGACGACGACAAAGCCATCCTCTACCCCTGCCACGGCATGTCCTCCCAGGTCAGTGTGTGTGTGTGTGTGTGTGTGTGTGTGTGTGTGTGTGTGTGTGTGTGTGTGTGTGTGTGTGTGTGTGTGTGTGTGTGTGTGTGTGTGTGTGTGTGTGTGTGTGTGTGTGTGTGTGTGTGTGTGTGTGTGTGTGTGTGTGTGTGTGTGTGTGTGTGTGTGTGGTGTGTGTGTGTGTGTGTGTGTGTGTGTGTGTGTTGTGTGTGTGTGTGTGTGTGTGTGTGTGTGTGTGTGTGTGTGTGTGTGTGTTGTGTGTTGTGTGTGTGTGTGTGTGTGTGTGTGTGTGTGTGTGTGTGTGTGTGTGTGTGTGTGGTGTGTGTGTGTGTGGTGTGTGGTGTGTGCGTGTGCGTGCGTGTGGTGCGTTCGTGCGTGCGTGCGTGCGTGCGTGTCCCAATTTCTATGGGAAGGCTTTTGTCATATCAATTCACTTTATTCACAAAAGCTTAGAAATACAAGTATAATCATAAGACATTGTTTGTAGCCTTTATTTAACCAGGTGAAATCCCATTGAGATCAACGACCTCTTTTTCAAGGGAGACCTGCAGCACGTTGGTTACACATGAAAAACAGAAAAACAACAGAAAACAAAAAGGACGTCATACAACATAATTACAGCGGTACAATTTACAAACCTATTCACAATGACAGGTACCAAGAGTATCAAATAACATTTCATCCAGCCGAGCTTTAAAATGATGCAGGGGAACCAAAATGCTCAGTTTCAAAAAAATGTGCAGAGTGTTCCAAGCTAGAGGAGCTGCGCACATAAAAGCTTTAGAACCTAAAATAGTCCTAGCACTTGGCACATGTAACAAAACCACAGCATGAGATCTTAGGCAATAGCTACTTTCAACTCTCTGTGAGATCAGAGAGCAGATATAAGATGGGAGTTTACCCAGCATGGCTTTGTAGATGAACATGTACCAATGAGCCTCCGAACAAGTGAAGGCAGACCTGCCCTGGCATACAGGGTACAGCGATGAGTTAATACTTTACAGGTAGTTACACATATCAGTGCACTGTGATAGGCGGCATCTAACTTGATCAGGTCGCAATGGACAGGTGCATTCATATAAATCAGATCCCCATAGTCCAGCACAGGTCAAAAGGTCACAGAGACTAGCCTTTTCCTGGCCTCAAGTGAGAAACAGGACTTGTTTCTGAAAAAGAAACCTAGCTTCACCCTCAGCTTCACCCTCAGCTTTCTAAGCAGATTATCGACCTGAAGTTTAAAAGAGAGGCAATCATCAAGCCAGATACCAAGGTATTTATAACAGGTAACCACTTCGAGTACACATAATGGCGATATGTGAAATTTGACACCCTCATAATCTATCTAAAGATTAGGAATATGGGCCCAGACACAACCATTATTTAACAGTATGAAAATATACAAAAACACATCTATAATTGGAGAGATGTTTACTGCTGTGTTTATCAGGCCATCATGCGATTATTCATCTGTAGATTATTAGATTACGTATACTTTAATCATCCAAAATAATGCTTTCGTTTGTCACAGCAGCATGATGATGAGGCCTTGCACATGATATAAAAAATACAGTTAAAGAAAATAAATGAATGAACAGAAAATGTATAAGTATAAACGTATATATTTCAAGAAAGAAATTAGAAGAAAAAGTAATGAAATGAGGTAGTGTGAGACCAATTTGTGCCAATTGTCCAGGGTTAAAATAGCAAATGCAATGAGTCCATGTGCAGATTCTTCCAAAATAACATTACAAGTTTTATTTTAAATATTGTTTTCTTGCTTTGGCCTGCTTGTTAAAGTTAACACTCATTCTCAGATTTGTTTTGATTATTATTCATTTTAACACTTGGGGATGTGGTGTGATTACTCTCATCTTCAGGAAGTTGAAAACCTTTTTGTTTAATAAGCGCTGGAAGCCTCGGTGCAACAGAGAGAATGATTGCATGATTGCTTCTCATTTAGCAGATCTCTTTCACACACCCACTGAAGCTTTTAAATCAACAGCTTACCAAACCCAAGACACACTGAGGGCAGATTTGAATATGATTCCCCAAATCAACAGTGAGGTAGTTACAGTCAAATGTAAATATAGTGAATTATTAATTAACATTTGGGAGATACATTGGTGGGAATGAACTTGTGTTTTGATTCAATCAAGACGCACATTGTACTTTACATATTCCGGTTAAATAGTTATAAACTCCCAACGATGTGTGTTCATGGATTGACAGTCAGATTTAAAGGAGCCCTATTCTCCTCATTTTCAGGTGTCTCTACTTTAAAGAGTCCTCTCCTGCTGATGTTCAGGTGTATATCAGTATGTCGTGTATCTACTTTAAAGAGTCCTCTCCTGCTGATGTTCAGGTGTATATCAGTATGTAGTGTCTCTACTTTAAAGAGTCCTCTCCTGCTGATGTTCAGGTGTATATCAGTATGTAGTGTCTCTACTTTAAAGAGTCCTCTCCTGCTGATGTTCAGGTGTATATCAGTATGTAGTATCTCTACTTTAAAGAGTCCTCTTCTGCTGATGTTCAGGTGTATATCAGTATGTAGTGTCTCTACTGGGACAAGTCTCCATGCTGTAATGTTCAAAAAGCTCTTTATTTTTCTCATACTGCCTGTGCTGCAGCACCTCTTTTCACCCTCTGTCTGAAACCAGAGCCCAGTCTGCTCTGATTGGTTTGATGGTCGGCTCTGTTGTGATTGGTCAACCGCTTAGAGATGTCCCGCCCCTTAGCCGATATATCACATATAATGTGTTAGTGTTAGAGAAGTCATGTGACCGTGCTGTTGTCGGTTAAAATCCTGTTGCTTTTTGTTGAGGTCTCCCTTTTAACACTAACTTCCTATATGTTCCTATTCTTTTAATTACCTTTAACAAAAAGGCCCCATTATCTGTCTTTACCGTTGATGTTCTAAACATCTCTTGTTGTTATAAATCTGAATGCTCTCACTGCAGCCCTTCAATTAAAAGGCTTTTTATTCAGTAAATACCATCTATTTATAGTAATCCACATGCCGCAGTCACATTGAAGGATATAACCTTGTCTTCTTTTACATTCAGCGGGGAACGTTAAGGCAGCCTCGTGCCTCCTGTCTGCTTTAATTAGCTCTGCAGAGCCAATACCGGTTCAAAACACACTCGCCATATTAGAGCTGCAGATCTAATGAAGTGAGACTGGAAATGCACATGGATGATATTCAAGCACAACATGCTCAGTTACAGCAGCGCTCTACTCTCCATCTGGCGAAAAATAATTAAATATAAGTTAAGATAACATTTCCAATTTGTGAAATGTTTGCGTCGCAGCAGCATACAAAGACATGGCATTGTACATTTGAGAAAATAAAAGACTAGAAATAAACAATTCAAAATGTAAACATATAAAGCAGGATGTTATACATTAAGTGTGTAAGGAATAGAATATTAAATTGAATATAAATGTAAAATGAACAGTGTGAGTTTAAATTAACATTGTTACGCTCGGAGGTGATGTGAGTAATCTTTCTGTTATTGCCGGGATTAAAGGACATGTTACAAAAATTCATTTATAACTTACTTGGGAATGAGTTAGACACAGCTTTTGTCTGAATAACGATCGATCAGAGCTTCATTTGGAGCAACTACATAGATTATATCAGTAAATGCTAACCACATTAGCAGGGGTGTCAAACTCAAATACACAGTGGGCCAACATTAAAAAAAACGGTACTAGTCGAGGGTCGGACTGATTCAATGTTTATTGCAAAACTTATTGAAATGAACTTATTGCACATATTATACCTGGAACTAACACAGCTTAAATGATTGCCTATAAAAACAACATTAAACATTAAATAATCAGTTGCAATCATTTCTTATGGCTCTATCTGCAGCTTTTCCAGAGTCATTTCTTATGATTACATTTTCCCACAGGCCAACAACAGCTTCAACAAAACAATTTCCCTCAAAGAGAAAACAAACATGCTCTGTTGTCTCAAGAAAGAAAGTGCAGAAGGAAACATCCATGTAAACTCAGGTTGCTGCTCTGTGATGCTAGTTCAAGCCAGATACTTGGCATCTCATCTTGGGTGCAAGTTCATCAATGTTTGGGGTCAGGCTCTGAGCTGAGGAAACCCTCAGGATGGAGTGAAGGTGTGCGTGCAATATACCAGCGGGCCAGATCTAATAGTAATTAGAAATTATCCTGCGGGCCGAAATTAAATCCACTAAGGGCCTGATTTGGCCCCCGGGCCTTGAGTTTGACACATGTGACATATAGTGATATAACTTGGAAAAATACATTAAATGGACTTAAATGGTCTTTGTGCTTATTTGATCTATCCTTACTCCTCATGCTGCGACTGTGTGCTCAGTTTATTCTCCACAACGATGCTTCTCCAAAAACAGATTGTTAGGATTGCAATGCACTTAAATCCTTGCACCTCATTAGCTGTCTTTTACTTCTGCTTAAGTTTTTCCAATATGGACTTATGATGTATAAAAATGCTTGTCAAAGGATACCTTCCTCATCATTTCGAAAACAAATTCAGAGATTCTTCTTCCAGTCGTTTAATATTCATCTTCGCAAACATCAGTTAATTTAACATCGAATACACTTGGTTTCATTCAGTCAGGGTTACATCTTCCTTAAAGTCCTTCAAAGCAGATTTTTTAAAAACCCCTTTCATCACAGATGTTTCATGAAATAAGATATACAGTATATGTTGACCTTGTTTCAACTTTAGAAATGAATTCAAAAGATCTTGCTTTCACACAGTTCACAGGAAGACCAATGCTTTTCATCAAACAAATGTTTATATCCTTTATTTTAACCAGGTAAAAGACTCATTGAGATTAAAATCTCTTTTCCAAGAGTGACCTGGCCAAGAAGGGCAGCATGTACGAAGTTACAACAGATAAAACACAGACATGACAGGCAGACAAATGCAGCTGTAAAACACAAATAAAATGCCACATTAGCCAGTCAATATTGTGAAATGTGGAGATACAGTGGAATTAGTCAAGGACATGCTATTTTAAAAACACAAAAACATATATATCATTCTAATAACTTCTATATAGACTCGTACTGCACTATTCCACATACTCACTTTATTTTAGAACTATTATTTTAGAACTATTTTTCTTTTTGTATTACTTTTAATATCTGTATTATTATGTTGCATTGTTGGAGAAGCCTGTGACATAAGATTTTCAACGACATAATTACTCTGTAGCTATGTTAGTTTGACAATAAAGAACCTTGAACCTTGAACATATAAATTAAATGTGGTTTAATGACACTGTGTTGTCAGTCTGTGCACTGCATCGAACAAAGGACTCACCAACAGCTCTATCTGTGCCTCAAAGGTGAGATTGCGTGTAGATAAAGATATTGGTGTAACTACGAGAAAGTAATTAAATGGACTCTGTCTTTGTTCCTACTAAATCTATTTTACTCCTCACACTGCGACAGTGTGCTCAGTTTATTTTCCACTGCGATGCTTCGCCAAAAATAGATTGTTAGGATTGCAATCCTCTTAAACCCTTCACCTCATTAGCTCCCTTTAACTTTTGCAATCCGACTT